CTACTGTTTTATTTTTCTCTCCTAATTAGAAAACTAATCTGGGAAGGGGAGGAAACATTGGTTTTGGGGGTACCAAAAGTTATCTTCTTTTATTGTCTGCATTCTGTATGACTGAAAGGTGATTGTCCAAGAAAAAACAACAGCTGAGACTGATGGATATGAGTCATACATTTTCCGAGTTAAGAATTACCTTTGGCAGGAACCTTCCTTTGCAAAGTATACAAGGTTCTTTTGTGTGTGTGTGTTCTTTTTTTAAAGTCAGAGACTAAAATATAAATATTTGAAAATAATTATATTACTTGAAAATCATTAATTTTCATGTTCATTACTTGTATAAATAATACTTTGTTGGGAGGTGTCATGGATTGTTGACTTGGTAAATTGTTTTGTTTTTTTTCCCCAATCCATAAATATGTATTTACCTACAGACAATGTATTTTTTTTTTTGAAGGACATTTTTATTGTATTCAGAGCACCCAAAAATAGCTATGAGTATTCTTTTTCCATACTCCCTCAACTCCCTAATCTGTCCCCAGAAGTGTATATGCTGACAATGAGAGTTGTCTCATTCTTCCTATTGCTAGTTGATCTTTCTATATTAACACAGGAATAAACGTCACATTATTATTTGTCTTCATTGATGAATATGCAGCTTCTGAAAAGCTCTGTCAGTTTCTGCACTGAATATTTAGTCTGTTTATTCTGCTTCCTTCTTAACTATGGAAGAGGAACAATTTTAAGAGGACTATCTAGAGATGAGAGGGAGCAAGAAGAAATTACAAAGAACCTTATAATAAAATGTTATAATATTTTCCTCTCTCAGATCTCCTAAGGCTGGCTGTGCCCAGGATTTTCATAGAATTGTAGAACTGGAAGGGACCTCATGAGGTCTTCTAGTCCAGTTCCCTGCACCCAAGGCAGGAATAAGTATTATCTAGACCCTCTCTGACAGATGTTTGTCTAACCTGCTCTTAAAAATCTCCAATGATGGAGTTTCCAGAACTTCCCTAGGCAATTTATTCCAGTGCTTAACCACCCTGACAGGAAGTTTTTCCTAATGTCCAACCTAAACTGCCCTTGCTCCAATTTACACTCATTGCTCCTTGTCCTATCCTCAGAGGTTAAAGAGAACAATATTTCTCCCTTCTCCTTGTAATAACATTTTATGTACATAAAAATTGTTATCATGTCCCTTCTCAGTCTTCTCTTCTCCAGACTAAACAAACCCATTTTTTTTCAATCTTTTGACCTGGTGTAGAGCTTGTTGGTAGTTTTGTAGGTATTGTGCAGACTTCATGTTGTCCCTGAAAACCTTGATCTGAAGGTCCTGTTCTCTTCTAGATTTTTCATTTTTTTTCCCTCTTGCAAGTGCAGAATTGAATCCTCATTGAGAATGGTTCTGTAGATAGCTGTTCAGAATGCTGTGGTATTGTGATTTGTTTATTTTAATAAAAAAGCGATAGCATCTGGGAGGATGGAGGAGTGTTTGTAAAGGGGCTTGATTCCACAAACTGATCTATGAAGGCACACTCTTGTGCCTGTGTAGTTTCCCATGGATTTCAGTGAAACTCCATGCAAGGGGGCCTCCGGTGTGGAGCAACTTGCAGGATTGAGGCCTTGGTGTGTAACTGTTGTCTCTTTAAAAAGTCATTATGCCTGCAGATTGGTAAAGTGGCCTAAATCATAAACTCCTTTATCTCCCAAATAGGTAATTGCTTGGGCTTGAAAACATCAGCCCAGAATAAACTTCATCTGGTATAAAGTACAGCAGCCTACCTCAGCAACATGCATTGCCAAGAGCCCATCAGCCACTCTCGTGGCTGCCCTGTAGGACACTGATCTAAATTTAAGATCTCGATCAAGTTATTTTTGAGGTTCTGAATGGACAGGAACCAGGTTACCTAAAGGACGGCCTCATCCTCCGGACATGGATTGCCCTCAACAGCTCCGCTCCTCAGGAATGGTAGAATGGATTAAGAATTGTAAACTTCTTCATATTTAGGACCCATGTCAAATTCAATGAGTAATACCAGTGTCTTTGAACTCGTAGATGAAAGGTTTCTGTTTCCATGTTCTCTATCTACCACCAGTATTTCCTGGCACTAGATGGGGAGCTGCCTACTGTTGTTCTGAAACCAGATGTAGCCTCCCCACACCACTAAATTAGCCAGTTCCAAAGGGTTAATAAATCTGTGTCTGGATTAGTAACCCTGGGTTAAGTGCTTGCAGATAGAGCCTCTTTCTAGCTTTTTTTGTTTGGTTTTGGTTTTGCTGTGACCCAGTTTCCTTCCCAGAGAGACTGTTGTCCCCAGCAATTGTTGAAGCGGAACAACTATTTAGTTCCTAAAGGATAACATAATAGACACAATTTGGCAGCTTCTTGCTTATAAGGTTAATCATGGTAATTGTACATGGTGTCTGTATAAGTCTGTGTGTGCACCGAGATATACAGCACTTTTTCAACAAAAGCATGTTTAGTGGCCATACAAGGAGTATAGTTGCTTAAAATCTGAATCACCGTGCTTTCACCTCACTACTTATATTCCATTTGACCCATTTGGCCAAAATCATCCCTAGTGTAAGACCACTGATTTCATGGGCTTTTACGGGGGATGAATTTGGCCTCAGACAGAAACACTGAATAAAGCAACAATGAGCAGGTTGCGGTGCTATTGCAGAAAAGGTGGGGCAAACAAAAAACTGCAGTGTATTGACAAAGCAAAATTCACTGAGGAGCCAAAACACTGTGTGGCTCTTAAATCCAATGTTAATGGCTTATATCAGGGTGTTTCTGCTCTGTTCATTTTTAAGTTGGCTTATGTTAACTAAATGCCATCAGGCACACTTTAAAATGCTCTTAAAAATGAATTAGTTATTTTTTTTAAAAATGGGGTTTTCCCATTTTAGATCAATTCTGAGTTCTAAGACTTTGGGGTGGTGGGAAGAAAGCCTGAGGACTTCATAAATAGAAGCTTAATTTTACTGCATTTATCTCTATAGCTGCAATTAATTATTCAGCGTATCCATTAAAAATTAAGCCTTGGTAAGTGACACTTTTAAACATGCATTCAAAATTTATTGAAAATGGGGGAAGTGATGATAAAAAGAACAATGTCTAAAAGAAAAATAAAATGTCTTGAAAGAGTCTCAATTTGTTCTTATAAACTTCAAAATATAACCATGTAGTACATATAAAAGATGGGAGAGGAGGGGAACAGAGACCGGAAGCAATGGGAAGGAGTGGGTAGAGCAGGGCTCTAGTGTTGCTAACTTTCATGATTTTATTGAGAGTCTCATGATATTCAGTGCTTTCTTAAAACTGCAGCTGCTGGAATCAAGAGATTACATGAGAATCTGAGTTTTGTTAGATAAAAAAATATTCTAATTACATAGTCAAGGAGAAATGCTTGAAAATGTGACTTAGAGTGCACCGTAAACATTCAGAACCCAGAAAGCAAATTAAAAAATTTCAAATGCATTATTTAAAACAATCTCATGATTTTAGGCCAGTCTTATGATCTTTTGAGACCTGACTCATTTTAAACGTTTGGGGTTGGCACATACAAGTTCCAGTACATTCTGTACTTGTTCACAGTTGAATTAAACCCCCTCCAGAGTATGTGAGGTTCACAGGGCTTCAGATCCAACAGATGGTTGTCAATCTATAATGAATCCCATTTGTTATGGGCAACAGATACAATTATACATAGATTACACACACATCCTTTGGCAGTAGGGCTAGAATTCTGTTCTTTTAGCTCATAAATACAGAGTTCCATCATGGAGATAAAGAACAACTCCCTTAATTTACTGTTAGTTCTTGTAGTATGTGGCTTATCGTCTCTGTCGGCCAGTCATGAAAGGGGTGACATCACATGCATATGGAGACATACATATACACACACACATACAATATGTTAGAGCTGAAATAGATAGAATACTGCTGTTATCGGATTGCTCAGGTTATTTCTTTTGTGTGATTGTAATATATGTCAGACTAAAGTTAAGAAAAATGAATAAATATCAGTAATATTTTTCAGATGTTGACCAATAAAAACAATAGAAAAAGTGCGTACAGTGATGAGAAATTATCTAGTCTTCTCCTTGCCACCCCAGCAGGGGAAAATGTGTGTGTGTTTTAAGTGTACTGTTGAGTATAATGAAAACATTTAGTTTTGCACACCAAAACTATCGCATACTTTTGAAAGATTTTGTAATGGCATGAGAATAATAGGATGATGATAATCTCTGAAACCAATTAAAATAATAAACTGCCTGCCAAATAACTGTATTTACTTTACCTTTATTTTTATATTAACCCAAAATTTTACCCTATGCATTTTTTGTTTGGATCATGGAGTTCTTATCCGTTTTTTTTTTTTTTAACATTAAGTGCACACAAACAATTGTCTAGTCCCATCAGTAACTAAAATTAGAGTCTTTTCCTTTTTCTCTGTTCTGCCCCCATGTCCTAAAAAAAACCAAACAGATTTGTTAGAAGATCAGGTGTCTTCTCAGTTAAGCCCATCAGCTCAGTTTACAGCAGAATGCTTTCCCCCTCCTTTTCCTTTGGGGGAAATATTCCATTAAAATGTTGCTTTTTATTGTACTGTTGCCGGTTTACCTTACAAAATCTTCACCCTTGTAGTAATTCTCCAAAGCAGAAATTTGAGGGCTCTTAGTAACTTTTGTTTACAGACTTCCTCCTGATTATCTTGAGTTGGTAAATTCTTTATCACCCTGGAAGGGGTAACAGACTGTTAATAATTTCAGTGAAGCAGTCAGTCCCTTGGAATGGTATGGATGTCAAATATGTGGATTACAAGCTGTAGCATTTGATACATAGTAAACAGCTGTGATGTTGGGGATGGGGGAAAAACAAACCCAGAAACAGCCTTTCAGTTTTAGTGTAAGAGTTCATTTATATACAAAGACTGGGTTAATGTATTAAAAATGGTTTGCTTCTTTACATTCTGTTTCTCTCTGTTTTTGTCTTGCAGTGTTGTCCCACAGACTACAGTTATACTGAACAATGATCGGCAGAATTCAATAGTAGCCAAGATGGTTGGGCAGGAAGAGCCACTGAGCAGAACAGCAGATTCTCTGGAAAATATCCTTAGCAAGTTAGTAGCAACAATTGCAATCCTTCCCCTATACTTCATCATTTCTTACAGGAAAGCCAATAGAGGTCTGTCTACTGTAATTACAAGTGCAAAATAAGAACATCCTAGGCAACTGAGCCTGAGGGAAAAAATATTCACAAAGTAATGAAAAGGGCCAGATTGACAGCCCTAAAAAACAAAGTCATCTATCAACAGAACAGGTACAGCGCAGTGCCTCAACCTTGATGTGGAGGGAGCATCTCTGAGGGGAAGGGTTAATTCAGTCTCTTTGGCCCACTGAGTCCTTGGTGTCCATGCTGAGCTTTCCAAGAAGGGGGCCCATTGTGATGGGTTTCGCAATGTGGACTCTTGTCCTCTTTGAACTGTACTGAGACCTACCAACTCATTAACTAAAGGACATTCAGTGGCCATCTGTAGTTATCACTTCTGTTCTGGCCAAGGCTGGATTTGAACTAATTGCTTGAAAACAAAGGCTCTGTATTGAAAACTGTTTGAAGTAACAAGCCATGCTAATTTAACAGTTATGTAAAGAAGTTTCTTTATACTTATTGGTTACATGTTGTGTATAGACATTTTGTTGATAACATTTTCAGATAGACTTAAACAGCAAACTACCTTCTGAGTAATTAACATTAGATAGTACCTATAAAGCAAGCCAAACAGCACTTACTTTTAAACAAATATTGACACTTTCAAAAGGTTTTCATCTTTTAATGCGTTTAATTTATTTGTGAATCCGTATGTGTAGCTTTCATGCAATTTGTGTAACGTTAACACATGGAAATTTATTTTAGAAAGCTGGGGTTATTGTTAAAATTTCTGACATCTGTATAAGGACATGTCTCTTTCTATAAACTTTCTTAGCTCTTTTTGGAGGCTGATGGAGTCAGTTGGGATGTCTTCTGTTCATTCATGCCATATAATTAATAGAATATACATTTTACTTAAAGCTGCTTAACTGAACAGCTAAAAGCAATGGAGGGAAATTAGTCAATTCAGTTTTCTATAGATTGTTCTTCATCTGAACCAGAGGCAAATGGCTTTATTTTTATTTAATGTCCTACAGGGAGAAGAAGAAGAAGAAACAAAATTCTTGTGTAGCCTCTTGTGTATTAATTTTTGTTACTATCAAAATATCTTTGGGTTTTATGTTAACTTAATTTGCAGAAATATACTATGTATTTCATTACTTGATGTCAAAACACCTGCTGAATGCAAACAGTTTTAGGGTTATTCTGCTACTGTAGTCTTTTCAGCTAGGTAGCTCTTAATCTAGACAGACTAGCTTTTACTAGAAGAGTCATATACTCAGTAAAAAATCAAGTTGTTCGTATTTTTTAATGCACTAGTAACAGTATATTACATTCTTTAAGTCTAGAATCATGCTTTGCCAAAGTGTGAATTCTTTTTTTCTTTCTCAGTGCTGTTCCGGGTCGTAGACAGAACACCATTGTGGTGAAGGTGCCAGGGCACGACGACAGCCACAATGAAGATGGAGAGAGCGGGTCTGAGGCCAGTGACTCAGTTTCCAACAGTGGCCAGTTAGGAAGCCAAAGTATTGGGAACAATGTTACTCTTATTACACTGAACTCTGAAGGTATGTGATCAAACTGTAAGGCCATTTGAGCAAAATGAGCAGGGTGGAGGAATGAGCTAAAATTCTATGAGAAGCTCTTGAGATCATGTCAGCAGTTCAATCCTTAAAGAACTATGAAAAAATGCTGAAGTGGCCTATCCTATAGGAATCATCAGAAAAGACTGAGTAACAAGCCAAAATAATCCAGTTTCCTTTAACTCGCTGTTCATTTTTCTAGGCGGAAGAGCAAATTAAGTGTATTTGTAATACTTAATAGGTATGCCCCAGAGCGCAGCCCTTGATTTAACAGACTCTGTTGTATTAGCAGTATAAGAACACTTAATTTCAATGTTTTTAAATTTAAAGTTTTGCAAAATGATTACCAAATACTTTGGTCCTATCTCAAAGTTGAAATAGAGAATTGGGGAAATAATTACATTCTCTGGGAAGCATCAAAATGTTCATTGCCTCCTATAACTTATTATGCCATTCCACTGATGCTAAAGTTTTCTGAAAGTAAACAGTTATTTTGGAAACTCTAAACAGTTTTTTAACAGGAAATTTCTATAAAAAATGTATTGTTTCTAGGGTAGTTCTCTCAACAGTTTCAGAGTTTTCTACAACCTCTACACAACCCGAAATCTCTGCAAAACAAAGACAGTGGAATATAACACTTCGAAATGTGTCTTCTATAGACAATCTGTTATATCAGTGGTTCTCAAACTAGGGCTGCCGCTTGTTCAGGGAAAGCCCCTGGCGGGCCGGGCTGGTTTGTATACCTGCCGCGTCCGCAGGTTCAGCCGATCGTGGCTTCCACTGGCCACGGTTTGCCACTCCAGGCCATTGGGGGCTGCGGGAAGCAGCGCAGGCTGAGGGATGTGCTGGCTGCCCTTCCTGCAGCCCCCATTGGCCTGGAGTGGCGAACCGTGGCCAGTGGAAGCCATGATCGGTTGAACCTGCAGACGTGGCAGGTAAACTGGCCCAGCCCGCCAGGGGCTTTCCCTGGACAAGCGGCGGCCCTAGTTTGAGAACCACTGTGTTATATGTTGTAAGTACTTAGGGTATTAAAATACAAAGTGAATTCTAGCTGTTTAGAATTCTAACTATGTCTAACTATTTCTCATGGAGTGCTTCTTGACTCTTCCAACCTCTGACATGCCTCCTGTGACAAAATCTGCTTCCAAAAATTTTATGCAATCACAAAAATGTTGAAAATATAAAACAATTAGAAAGACGCATGTTTTAGGTGAAAAGTGTCATGTGAGTTTAAAAAATAAAAAAGATCACAATAAATCATAGGTTTTTTATAATTGGCTTGATTAATCATGTCACTAATTTTTAAACAGAGGCCTGTAATTTGAACCTTAGACTATAGAGTCTTTTAATTAAGTTAATTATCCGCTAGCTCTTCTTCTATTGAATTCATAAATGAATCATTCCTTATATTTATTTCATATATGTTAGTGTGTGGTTATATTCATGCACTACAGGGCAATATATTAGTATTTGGGTACTCAGTTTATCATATCTTAATGCCTGATTTTTCAGAAAATGCTGAGCATCCACCCTCTGAAAAACAGGTCCCTTTAAGGTATCTTACACTGAGCACCCAAAACCTGAGGCTCTAAGAATGACTAACAACTTTTGAAAATGTTGGCCCATGCTATTTGGGGCAGGGACTGTACATCTTTTGTATATACATAGGTTATGGTCACTACCAGAAATAAATGAATAATGTTTAGACTATTTCTCATGGAGTGCTTCTTGACTCTTCCAACCTCTGACATGCCTCCCGTGACAAAATCTGCTTCCAAAAAGTAGTCTGTATTGGGGGGAAAGGCAGGAGATCCGAATTTTGAAGTGCCCACATTACAAAGTAGGCTGGTTGAGGATAGTTTTGTTATTGCCATTTGAAAAATCAGGTCTTGTAGCAATGGGATTTGGAATACTTTATTTGTGCAATTGCTGATGTTTTTGGCAATTTATGTATGTATGTATGTATGTGAAGAAATTGAGTTTCACTGTTCTGGTGTCTACAGAGTCAAATTCTTCTCTCAGACACATATGTTCATGTCTTATTGGCTCCCATTGTGAGGACATTTGTTCATACTTTGTGGATAAAATCATGTGGAGTTAGTCCCGAGCTGACTGCTTCGTTAGGGTGAGGGAATATCTTACAGGATGAATGCCAAGTCATCTGTTCTCAAGTTTCAGCCAGTGTCACTCTCTGAGACACTAGATGTGTTGTTTCAGAGTATCAGCCATGTTAGTTTGTATCTGCAAAAAGAAAAGGAGTACTTGTGGCAAGTTAGAGACTAACAAATTTATTTGAGCATAAGCTTTTGTGAGCTACAGCTCACTTCATCGGATGCATTCAGTGGAAAATACAGTGGGGACATTTATATACATAGAGAACATGAAAAAATGGGTGTTACCATACACACTGTAAAGAGAGTGATCACTTAAGGTGAGCTATTACCAGTGGGGCGGGGAGGGGCGAACCTTTTGTAGTGATAATCAAGGTGGGCCATTTCCAGCAGTTGACAAGAACATCCGAGGAACAGTCGGGGGTGTGGAATAAACATGGGGAAATAGTTTTACTTTGTGTAATGACCCATCCACTCCCAGTCTTTATTCAAGCCTAAGTTAATTGTATCCAGTTTACAAATTAATTCCAATTCAGCAGTCTCTTGTTGGAGTCTGTTTTTGAAGTTTTTTTGTTGAAGAATTGCCACTTTTAGGTCTGTAATCGAGTGGCCAAAGAGATTGAAGTGTTCTCTGACTGGTTTTTGAATGTTCTAATTCTTGACGTCTGATTTGTGTCCATTTATTCTTTTACATAGAGACTGTCCAGTTTGACCAATGTACGTGGCAGAGGGGCATTGCTGGCACATGATGGCATATATCACATTGGTAGATGCGCAGGTGAACGAGCCTCTGATAGTGTGGCTAATGTGATTAGGCCCTATGACGGTGTCCCCTGAATAGATATGTGGACACAGTTGGCAACGGGCTTTGTTGCAAGGTTAGGTTCCTGGGTTAGTGGTTCTGTTGTGTGGTGTGTGGTTGCTGGTGAGTATTTGCTTCAGGTTGGGGGGCTGTCTGTAAGCAAGGACTGGCCTGTCTCCCAAGATCTGTGAGAGTGTTGGATCGTCCTTCAGGATAGGTTGGAGATCTTTGATGATGCGTTGAAGAGGTTTTAGTTGGGGGCTGAAGGTGACGGCTAGTGGCGTTCTGTTATTTTCTTTGTTGGGTCTGTCATGTAGTAGGTCACTTCTGAGTATTCCTCTGGCTCTGTCAATCTGTTTCTTCACTTTAGCAGGTGGGTATTGTAGTTGTAAGAATGCTTGATAGAGATCTTGTAGGTGTTTGCCTCTGTCTGAGGGGTTGGAGCAAATGCGGTTGTATCGAAGAGCTTGGCTGTAGACAATGGATCGTGTGGTGTGGTCTGGATGCAAGCTGGAGGCATGTAGGTAGGCACAGCGGTTGGTAGGTTTCCGGTATAGATGTGTTGGGTGTACTTCCACGTTCTGGACACCTGTGTTCTTTCTCGCTGGAAAAAGCCATTGAGAAGGAGGCTCAGTCAGATAAGACTGAGGTTTATATTGGTTAGCTGGGGGAAGCAACTGGAAGATGTGGCACTGATGGCATTTGGCCTTCTGATTGCTGTTTTATTGTTTGTTTTCACAATGTGGAATTCTGATTAGATCACTGGCTGCTGCTAGATGATTTGGTAGGAGCAATGGCTAGGAGTGCATTTTCCATTTACCAATGCCTAGGAGGGTTGTGACTGTTCAAATGGACCTTGCGACTGTCAGACATGCCTTTGTCACTTTGAGATTAGATTAGTGCAGTATGTTGCACGTGGGGCTACATCTTAAATACATCCAGAAACTAAAGCTGGTGCAGAATTTGGCAGCTCATTTGCTCTAAGCAGCATATGTTAGAGTGAGCATTTTACACCAGTGCTCCATGATCTGCATTGGCTGCCATTTGGTTTCTGGGTGGAGTTTAAGGTCCTGGTTTTGACATAGAAAGCCCTGAATGGCATAGGATCTGCCTACTACTCTCCTCCATGCCACATTTCTGGCCTGCAAAGATATTAAATTTGGAGTTCCTTCAGTATAAAAGATGGGAGCTGCAGACATGGTGTTCTTAATGAGGGCCCCTTTGTATATACCTCCATTGGAGCTGGGGGACTCAAGCTAGCATGCTAAAAATAGCTGTGTGGATGTTGCGGCATCAGCAGAGGCTTGGGATAGCCACCTGGTATCGGACACAGGGAGTAGAGTGAGCTTGAGCTCCAGTGGCTAGATCAGCTTCTGTTGGTGCTGCTGTGTCCACACAGCTTTTAGCATGCTAGCATGAGCTCTGCTGAGACGGGTCTCTCTTCCTGGGCTGGGGGCTTGCTCCCAGCTGCAGTTTAGACATGTGCCTTGACTTTGGAACTCATTTTCAACTCCTCCATCTACTTTTGTCTGAGTCTGTTGACCAGTAGAGTATGCTGCAAACTCTTTGTATTTTCCCTAGCTTCCAGAGAGCAGGGGGCAGGATGATGAGCAAGGGGATTTCTTGCTGTTATTTTTTTACCTGTCTGTAATTTGTTAGGATGAGTTAGGTGCAATTGGTAGAACAGTAAATTATAACAATTGTATTTTTAAATATTGTCAAAGGCCCTAGAGGATGTGCTAAACTTTTATTTTTTAAAACAGAAATTGAAATTAAAAATAAAATAAATATTTATTTATATTACTTAAGATTGTTATGTGTTTGTTTTCTCCTGAAGATGGCCTTTGCAAAAGTCTAATGTAAGTCTGACTAGTTTCTGAGGTGAGAATTTTGACATGCACACTGTTGTCAGAAAAGACAGTTTGTGACATTGTAATGCATATATAGTTAAATACTTATAACAGCAAAAAAGTATTTAGTAACTCTTTCCTAAACTCTTGTCAGGTGGCACTAAAATGTTGCAAAGACTGTGCACTTTCTGGGAAGAGAGACCCCCTGCAATTTAAATTTCA